TTCTTAATTACTTATTTTACTAATTATTATTATTAGGGTCTAGTAATAGTAGTGGTATTTTTTATTTATTTTTTTGTAAACCACTTTTATATTATTATTCAAGCTTATTCTAATGTAGTATTTTCATGTTTTATTAAGTTTATACTGATTTTTGTTGTTATTGTTGCACATCTTTACGGTTGTGCCTCTATTATAAAAGAGAGGCAATAAAGTTAAGTTACTTACTTACTGTCACCTTTCAAAAAAAGTTAAATTCCTTTTCATCCACCAGTTTAAAGTTCTTCCTAAATTATTTACTTTATTACACCAATTTTTCGATTCACACAACTTTTGATTATTAAATGCCCATAATTGATTCCTGTATATTTAAACCAAAAGGTCTCGTCACTGCTATCTACTGAGGCACATTGCCATTGATTTTTCTTTATTCCGTTTCATATACATAACTAAAATCATTCATCGAAAGGACAACTGATTAATCTCAGATAAGAAAGTATAATACATACTCCAAGTATTGAAATGCACGCCATCGTGTTGGGATTCAATATGTCGACATTTTATGTCATCATTAGGAATAATTGTAAGGCCCTTGATATACCTTGTCCGTCTGCAACAAATAATATGGTATCGTCAGCAAGTTATATTCTTGCTTCTCGTATGTTGCCAGTAGGTCTACTGATTACGTTTGGCAAACTAATACCATGGATGGTCATGGATGAGTCATCACATCTAACAGCTGTGGCCATTATCTTTACTACAGCAATGAAAAATAATGCTGATAAAAGACACCATTGTTTGATTCCTTTCGAAATTTCAAAACGTTGAGACACCCAACCATTATAAGTTATAACACTATATTATTAGTATGCGTATAGTCTGTATACATCACCAACAGTTAAATACCGAAGTGTGGATAACATAAGATTTCTTTCTATAATGTCGAAAGCAAAATCTAATGGTAAGCTACATAGTCCTTTCTTCTTGTTCTCGTCTACCATAGTGGTAATCAGGGGCGAATTTAGGGGGCTAGCAGCCCACCCCCCCTAAAACTTCCTTTTGGAATGTAAAAAAGAAAAAAAGAAAGTACTGTAAGACAGAAAAAGAAAAAAATGATCGCCCAAAACGCCTTAAAGGTTATTTTCGGGAATCAACACAAAAATTTCGCACCCCCACAGGGTAGTATTATCTCGATAGGCCCCACTTTCGCCCCCTCCACACTCTTGTAGCCCTTTTTTGGACATTTCTGGATCCGCCTCGCTGGTATTGTCGAAGACGTTATCTTTATGAAGGACAGGAACAACGGGGAAGGATGTCTTCGACTAGTTGGATATTCTCACCAGCAAATCGACTTATTTGTTCGTTCTCAATCGATTTTATTACTCATTCATTCGTTTTGTTAAGTACATGAACAGTAATTTAAAAGCCAATATTTCAAGTTATCGGTCTCTAATTATTTAAATTTCCTTTATCTTCTTTTTTTTTTGTAATAAATAAATTATTCTTTTACGTTGTGATAGAGATAGTTCACTCGTATCATAGCCTCTATTTAAGACGATTCAAACAGTATCGAGGATATCACCCCAGAAGAGACTAATTAACTTCCATTTCGAAAACAGTTAGTTTACATTCACTGATTGTTTTCTACCTTCAAACACGTTTTTTCTTCTATAGATAATTTATTTATTGAAATGTTTTCTAAATATTTATTAACATTTTTTTCTTAGGAAATAAATTTGTATGATACTTAACTTGTTCTTTAAGGATTTCATTTGGTTTTGTAAATTCTCCTTTTAAAATCAATTTTTTCAAGACCAAGAAAAATTTATTTCATTGTTTTTGTTCCTCCCATCTAGCACATGGCTTTATCTGTGCTCCCTTATTTTCATTTTCAGAGGCCCTATGTTATCTAGCTTCTTTTTCATGAATTCTAGTGTGTTTTCGTCTTCTTGTTTATCTATTAATTCTTGGTTAAGACATTCTTTGTCATTAATAAATTGTTTTTTCTATTTTTTCTATTTTAATTTTAATGTTGGTCTTTTCTCTACCAATAGGCAATTGAGTATTCTTTTTAAGATTTCAATTAATTTCTAGTTTAGCATTGGGTTCAGGTTATTAGTTGTTTTACATCGTAAATCTTTTTTGTATTTATTTTTCATAATTACAATCAGATAAATGTGTTAAATTTCCATCATTGCTGCCGTGAATAAGCTCGATTCGGTTGACCCTTATATCTCAATTTTTATGACTTGTACGTACTTGGATCTGGGGGGTAGGGGGACTCCCTCTTGGGCAAAATAAATTCAGTGCCCGTGAGCTGAATATTTCTTTTTGACAATAGGAAAATTAGAATTTGGGAAAGCTCATTTCCTACCATCTAGAAATCAAAATTTTCCTAGGGTAGGACGAGGTAATGCCCAAATGATGCCTAATAGCAATGCTCAGGAGAGAAAAAAAAGCAAGTTCTCATAATCTCCAAAGCTCCGATGATGGCAGTATAATAGAGGCAGTAGAGTATATTGGCCCAAACGGTCGCTCATACAAATCAGTCTATTAATCAATCAGCCGATCATCGGAGATAAAAAAAAAATCAGAGACGGGGATTTATACCCCTAATGAGAAGGTTCTGGTCATTAGACCTTTTATTTGAGATTCAAAACAATAAGTTTGAAATCATATTGGATGATGTTAACTACTCTCAGTTTAATAAATAATTGGCCATCATATACACTCCTGGCTTTTTATGTTGCTATATGTGCATATTT